TTCTGTCAGTGTAATGAGTTGGTTGCCATCTGTCAGGGTATAAGGTTATCAAGTGTCAGGGTACAAGATTGGTTGACATCTGTCAGGCTATTGGATTGGTTGTCATCTGTCAGGAGTTTAGATTTGTCATCTGACAGGATGTAGGGTTTTTTTTGTCAGGGTATAGGGTTGGTTGTCATTTTTCAGGTTACAGGTTGTAATCTTTCAGGATTATAGGGCTGTCATCTATCAGGATTTAGGGTTGGTTATCATCTGTCATGGTAAATGGTTGTCATCTGTCTGTGTATAGGGCTTTCATCTATCAGGCTATAGGTTTGTCATCTGTCAGGGTATTGTGTTGTCATCTATAAGGTTATAGGGTTGTCATCTGTAAGGATATATGGTTGCCATTTGTCAGGTTATGTTGTCATCTTTGAGGCAATCAGGATGGTTGTCTTCTACCTTGGTATAGGATTGTCAACTCTCAGAGTATAGGGTTGTTTGCCATCTGTCAGGGAATAGGGCTTTTATCTGTCAGGGTATATGTTTGGTTGTCATCTATCAGGGTATAGTGTTGGTTGTCATCTGTCAGGGTGTAGGGTTGTCATTTTCAGGGGTATATTGTTGTCATCTTTCAGGGTATAGGGTTATCATCTGTAAGGATATAGGTTTGGTTGTCATATGTTCAGGGTATAGGATTGGTTGTCATCTGTCAGGGTATAGGTTTGGTTGCCATCTGGCAGGGTATATGATTAGTTGTCATCTGTCAGGGTATAGTGTTACTTGACATCTGTCTTTGTATAAGGTTGTCCTCTGTCAGGGTATAAAGTTGTCATCTGTCAAGGAATAAAGTTGGCATCTGTAAGGGTATAGGGTTGTCAACTGTCTGAATATAGGGCTGTCATCTGTTAGGGTAAAAGGTTTACCTCTGTCACAGTCTAGTGTTGGTTATCATCTGTCAGTGTATAGTGTTGGCATCTGACAGGGTATAGAGTTTTTGTCAGTCAGGGTATTGGTTTATTTGCCATCTGTCAGGGCATAGTGTTGACATTTGTCAGTGTATAGGGTTGGTTGTCATCTGTCAGTGTATAGAGTTGGCATCTGACAGGGTATAGAGTTTTTGTCACTCAGGGTATTGGTTTGTTATCTGTCACTGCATAGTGCTGACATTTGTAATTGTATAGAGTGGGTTGTCATCTGTCATGGTATAGGATTGATTGTCATCTCTAGTTATAGGGCTGTCATCTGTCAGGTATAAAGTTGTCATTTGTCAAGGTATAGAATTATCATCTCTCAAGGTATATGGTTGGTTGTTATCTGTCAGGGTATAGTGTTGACATTTGTAAAGGAATTACTTTCTACTGTTGCTCTGTTTTCTAGTATGCACCGCCTCTTCAGCTGGTGACTCACCAGACCATGACAACCTGGATGGAGGTCTTTCGGACCATCATTGATAGACGGTCCCTCCGGTATGCCAGGGCTCTGAGAAAAGCCTGCAAATGGGTTGGAATACTTATGCTGGTTCACTGTCTGGTAGTGTAGGAGGTCCTTCTGTATTTGTGTTGCTTTCATTGGTTGAATAAAGAAACAGCCTTGGCCTTTTGATAGGGAAGAGCTTAGGTAGGTGTGGAAAAGAGAACTGAATTCTGGGAGGAAGAAGGCAGTGTGGCAGACGCCATGAGTCTCCTGCCCGAGACGGATGCTGGTTAGACTCATACTGGTAAACCATAGTCTAGTGGTGATACACATTAATGGACATGGGTTAAATCAAGATGTAAGAGTTGGGCAATAAGAAATTAGAGCTAATGGCCAGGTAGTAATTTAATTAATACAGTTTTCTGTCTGGTTATTTCAGGTATAAGCTAGCCGGGTGGCCAGGATGACAAGCAACCAGTCGGCCTGGGTGTAAGCCAGTCTGGGACTGGATGTAGCCTGTTCATCCTTACTACAGTCCGGTTTGCTCTCTAGAAAACAAAAACCACTGTCATATTACTAATAAAAATAATGTGATAAGTAAATAATAATGCTCACTTTTAGAAAGTCAGATCATCAAGAATATTAAAACAGTAACTGTTTAACTTTAGCTGGTTAAAACTGTTGCAAGGGTAGGGCTGCTTGTTTGTCCTTGTCGCCCAGCTAGCTTAATCCTGAAATAACCACACAGAAATTGTATTAATTAAATCACTGTTTGGCCCATTAGCTCTAGGCTTTTATTGGCTAACTTTCATATATTGATTTAACCCATATCTATTAATCTGAGCATTGCCACATGGCAGTGGCTTACTAGAAAGATTCTAACTGGCATCTGTCTCAGGCGAAGGATCTATGATGTCTCTCTCCTACTCCGCCTTTCTTCCTCCCAGCATTTAGTTCTGTCTCCTCTGCCTACCTAAGTTCTGCCATACCAACTAGGCCAAGGCAGTTTCTTTATTAACCAAAGAAAGCAACACAAAGATAGAAGGACTTCCTACACCATAAACCATTTTAAACCTTGCTACATATTTCTCTTGTCTTTTTTCCTGCATGTATATTTGGAATTTTAATGTAAATATTAATATAAAAATACTACATGTAGCTATACCTTCATTTTTGATAAAAATGAAATATAAATAATACTTTTCTGGTTATAACTTTTTTAAAATTAATTTTATTTTACATTTAAAATTTCTTTTTAGTAAATGTCTGTATAGATGGTATGTTGTATGGAAATATACCATGGTGTATGTGTAGAGGTCAGAGAACCCTTGTGGTTCTTTCTTTCTACCATGTGGTACTTGGGGATCAAACTCAGATCATCAAGGTTGATAGTAGGTGCCTTTACTTACTGAACCATCTTGCTGACCCTCGACTGCTTTTATACTGTCATTTTCATGGAATGCTTCATCCCTGGATATTTGGATATTTTTAATGTTTAAACTTTTATCTCTAAGAATGTAGTTTAGTACTTGGCTGGGGTGGAACTCAGTAACAGATTGTTTCCTGAAAATGTTGGGCTTTTGGCAGACTGTGCAAAGCAGAAACAGTATTTAGGCATGTACTTTGGTAAACAGTGGCTGAGAGCTTGCTGCAAGTATACACTTGGTTTTAAACCACCTGTATGACAGGTAGAAAAAGTATCTCATTGTGATCTGTGGTAGCAACAATAGTATCTTTACATCTGTCAAATTAATCCTTGTATTTTAAAAACTTGAGTTGGCCTGAAAATGTCCACTATTCTATTTGTGTCCATATCTTTTATTTATTTTACTTAAGTATTTAGGTTGAGCCCAGGGACTTTCACATGCTAATCACACTGATCCTTGTCCTTATCTTCTCCATTGTCCATATTTGCAACAAATTATTTCAAGTTTTAATATGTCCACATAGACAATAAACACTTCAGTGAGTTTTGTTATTGGCAAATGTGTTGTTTTGATGTGTTGCCTACATCAAAACTCAGAACCTTCTCATCCTCTCAGAGTTCATCAAGTGACTTGGTGCTTGTGTTTTGTTTCTGCTTCCTTGCTTTCCTGAAGATCAGTGCAAACACTAGCACTGCCAGGAAAGATTTACTTAACTTATTTTACTCTAAACTAGCTACCTGTAGAGTAGAGTGTGTATTCACATAGCAGTCTCACTTCTAATAGCTATGGACATTTCTATAAAAATTAGAAGTTTCTGTCCAAAATGTTGACTGTGCTGTAGAGTCTAGAAGTTCCTCCTGATGTATATTGTGCCTACTGGAAAAAGAGAATGTGCTAGTTTTCTGGCCCAGTAGAATACTTCTCTTAATATCTGTGTTTAAACTAGCAAGGATGCTTTGTTCTTAAACTTCACAGTACTTAGATGTGTTTTTTTTTTAAATTAATTTTAAGGTATGGAAGCCTGGTAAATGTCACAAAAGAATATTTCAAATTTTCTTTTGAAAACATATGCAGTCGGAATTCAGCTGGTAATAAACTTAAGCTTTTAAAATAGAAGAATGGTTATTACTGAGTGCTATTTCCATCAGTTTTAAAGTAGCTTGCTAATGGTAATTCATTGCACACTTAAAGAGGATGGAATGGCGGCTGTGGAGGCTGATACAGGGCAACTGGCCTGAGAACCCAGTGTCCTTCATCTGCTTCCACCCCAGCTGCCTTCAGGACTCTTTGACCTGGAAGGAAGCCTCGGATGCTGGTGTAGCCCTCTCTGTCTTCTCAGAAGTTTCATATTTCTTTGAGCTTTCCCTTGTTTGCTTGAAGATTTATATACTGTGAATAAATCTATTTCAAGAGTAGCCTTAGATATTAATGAAGACTTTCAGGTAAGAACATACATGTGTTCATAGAAGTTGGAGTATCCATTCCACATAAGGAAAATGTGGAACTCATGAGACTGTTGGTGTTAATACTTAAAAAAAATTAAAAAGGCTCTTTTCTTTTTTAGTTTTTTTTAATAGTTTTTTGTTTTTTTTAAATCACTTTTTCCAACTGCTCTGTTGGGGTTAGGAACCACTGCCATTCCGACTGGTGATTTTAGACTCAGCCTTCCCATCAGTCTCTTACTAATTATTTTAGTAATTGATTTATTCATGATTTAATTGATTTATTCATGGCAGCCGCCAAATCAACTCTAAATGATAAAAGTTTTATTTCTTTCCTTTGATTATTCTCTTTTGTTTTCTTTTCTTAATTTGTGGTCAAGTAGTTTATTTTTTACCTCTTAGTATTTAGCATACTCATTTGCTTACAAGCAGGGGTCGGATCCCCTGACAAAAAGTCCAAGAGTCCAGTCTTGCACCCCCTGACCCTGCACCCACTTCCTCTGAGACAGGGTCTCACTATGTAGCTCAGGTTGGCCTAGAACTCCAGACCCTTCTTCCATAGCCTTTCTAGTGCTGGGATCATAGGCATGTGCTGTGAACACAGCCTTGTAGCAGCCCCTAAATGATGACATGGAAACCTTATTAGTTATGAATGCTCGGCCTTAGCTTAGGCTTGTTCTAACTAGCTTTTTTCTTTCCTTAACCCATTTCTATTAACCTCTCACAGAGCTGCCTCCATCCTCTCCTCCTCTGTTCCTCTCTGTCCGGGTCTCTCTGGCCTCTTGGCTGTCTGACTGCTGGGTTTTCATGTGTTCTCTGCAGACAGGAAGACTCAGGCCACCTGCAGTCTTTGGTTCCTCTTCTATGAGCCACAATCTGTTGATTTTCTGCAGCTTTCTCAGTTTCTAGAAAGCTGTGCCTGTGTCTCCCTCCGTTTGCTCACTGGCAGCCATCCAAGGACATCGTCGGGATGCCGCTGCCCCGACTGCTGTTTCTGCTCTGGGTCTGCGAGTGGGCACCTGGAAAACACTTTCCTCTCCCTACGGTGTCCATGTTTACCTACGAGACATATAAGCTGGAACTGAAGTCCAGCGTAGTGAAAGTGCAGAAGGGTCTGTGTGTCCTCGTGCCCTGCACATTCTTTGAACATTCCGGGAACCGAAGCTCAGACAAGGTCTTTGGCTACTGGTTCAGAGCAGGGGCGAATACAGACCATGATTCGCCTGTGGCTACAAACAACCTAAATCAACTGGTGAAGAATCAGGGCCAGTTCCATCTCTCCGGGGACCCAAGGAACAACAATTGCTCGCTGGACATCAGAGATGTGCAGAGGACCGACAGCGGTTCTTACTTTTTCAGGATTGAAAAAGACTCCTTCGAGTG